ACAAAATAAAGTGATTTTATGCAAAATAAGGTGATTTTGGGGCAAAATAAGCTGGGTTTGGGGCAATGTAAGGTGATTTGGGGGTGAAATAAAGTGACCTCAGAGCACTGGCAGGAGGAAAAAACACTTCCAAAGGATGGGAGAGGTTTTAATGTGGAGCTTTGCAATAAAGCAAACTCCAAATTATTGGGAATTTTGAGCTGGAAACAATAATAGGGGAAAAAAAATCCATTATTTCTTTTTTTGGGGCTTTTTTATTGGTATTTCTGATTCAAATTCTTCTCCTTTCATATTCCTTCCCGGGGTAGTTTTGCAGGGGATGAACTTTGTAAAGTGGGGATTGGGATAAACGTGGAATTAGGGAGTCTTTCGGCAATAAATGGCTTTTTTCCTGGATTTTTGAGGTCTCTCTGCAAGAAATCTTTGCAGAAAGGACTTTAATTTTTCCTATTTAAGGGCTATAAATGTGATTGTTCCTGACTTTTCCCTGGTTTTCCTTTTATCCCTGTTTCTCATGGCATGAGCTGGACCAGGGATGGATTTTTTCCAGCTCATCGGTGGCTTTCAAAATGCAAAGCAAAGGAAAACAGTGGCACTTTTCCAGGTCATGGGATTGTGAGCTGGAATATTTGTGGGATATTTGCCTGGAAAAGCCACTTCAAGGGAAAACAGGGAAAAAAGCTTTTTCTGTAAGTTGACACCTTTCCAGGAGTTTATTGAAAATCTACTCCCAAAACTGCCCTGGATTTGGAATTTTTATGGAATTTCTTCGGGGACAAACTCTTCCTTTGGCAGCTTTTTCTGGGAAAAGCCTTTTTTTTTTTTTTTTTTTGATTTTGAGGAAGAAATTCCATATTTTGCCTTTTTTTAGCCCCCCCCCCCATGGTTTTGCTGTCGTTTCATTCCCACTGCTCCTGGGGCTGCCCCTTGTTCCCACCTTCCTCAATCCCAACCACATCCCAACTCCTGATCCAGGGGATTTTTGAGGACCCTGGGTAATTTTTCCCCACTGGAGCTTTCACTGACACCCTCAAACCTGCCCAGTTTATTCCTTGGAAAACTGGGAAATAAAACCTTTGGCCCCGAAATCCCATTAGGGATGAAAAAACTTCCTTTGCTGTAAATATTTGCTGCTTTTTAAAGTTACTTTTGTTCATTTTTAACCGGTTTTTAATTTGAAAATGATTTTTTATTTCAGAGTTGTTTTTGTCTTTGAGTTATTTCCAGTCATAAATGATTTTTTTTATTGTTTAAATTACTTGAGGTTATTTTAATGTTTGAGTGATTTTGATTTTAAAATTAGTTTTCAATGCAAATTTTATTTTTCAATGTAAATTTTTCCCCCAGCCTATATCTTATTTTTAAATGTAAATTCTGTTTCCCATTTAAACTTTGTTTTCCCATTTAAACTTTATTTTCCCATTTAAACTTTGTTTTCCCATTTAAACTTTGTTTTCCCATTTAAACTTTGTTTTCCCATTTAAACTTTGTTTTCCCATTTAAACTTTGTTTTCCCATTTAAACTTTGTTTTCCCATTTAATTTTTACTTTCCTATTTATTTCTCCATTTAATTTTTCTCCTTTTGTTCTTTATTTTTTAACTTTCTAAATTTAATTTCCTCTTTTCCATTTTTAACTTTTTTTTTTAATAATATTTTACTTATTATTTTAAAAGATTGGGAGTTAGGGGTGAAAACACCCCTGTTTTCCTCCTCCATGGACTCCTCCCATCCCAGGGAGTGGAAAAAACCTGAATTAATTCAATTTTTATCAAATTTTAGTCAATTTTTATATCAATTTTTATCAAGGTCATGGTGGAAAATCCCCCTGGGATGTGGGAATTAATGTGGGATGTGACCTGCAGGAATTAATGTGGAAAAGGGGGAGAACCTTGGGAGAGAAAAACTAATTTGGATTCCTCCCCACCCCCATCCCTTATAAATAACTCCAGGTTATTTATCCCGCGGGATGAGCCCGGTGGGATGGGCAAAGGGGCAGATTCCCAGGGCAAATCCTGTTGGAATATCGTCCATTGTTCCTCCCTGGCTTCCCAAAGCCCTCCATGGGGGGATGGGAGAGCCCTGGGAAGGGAGATCCTGGATCTGGGATCCTTCCCGAAGCTGGGCCCTGTTCCCACCAGCTGGGCCCTGTCGCTCCATGGCCCGGCTAAAAATATCCCCCTGAATCCCGGGAGCAGGATGGGGCCCAGCACATGGTCCTGCTCTTCTGCCTTTATTTAGGCCCAGCTCAATTTATTCAGGCCCAGCTCAATTTATTTAGGCCCAGCTCAATTTATTCAGGCCCGGCTCGACTTATTTAGGCCCGGCTCGACTTATTTAGGCCCAGCTCGATTTATTTAGGCCCAGCTCAATTTATTCAGGCCCAGCTCAATTTATTTAGGCCCAGCTCAATTTATTCAGGCCCGGCTCGACTTATTTAGGCCCGGCTCGACTTATTTAGGCCCAGCTCGATTTATTTAGGCCCAGCTCAATTTATTCAGGCCCAGCTCAATTTATTTAGGCCCAGCTCAATTTATTCAGGCCCAGCTCGACTTATTTAGGCCCAGCTCGACTTATTTAGGCCCAGCTCGATTTATTTAGGCCCAGCTCGATTTATTTAGGCCCAGCTCGATTTATTTAGGCCTGGCTATATTTATTCAGACCTGGCTATATTTATTCAGGCCCGGCTCGATTTATTCAGGCCCAGCTCTGTTTATTTAGGCCTGCCTTGATTTATTTTCCCTCCCCGCTCCGGGTGGGAAGGAGCCGGAGCTGCCGCCCCCAGGATGCTCCTTCCCACGGAGAGGCCCCAGCAACTCCTTGAAATCCGGACTCCCAAGGATGATGTTGCATCCCACGTCCTTCTGGGATCTTCTCACATCCCCAGGCCCTCCTTGGATTGTCCCACTTCCCATTTTTCCGCTCCTGGTTTATTCTGAGGGATCTCCCTGGCAGGCAGGCTCATCCCCACTCGCTTTCCCCTCATCCCCTGGGATGCATTTTGCTCCCGGGATGTTCCTTTTTCATGGAAAACGATGCAAAATGACCTTTCAAACCCAATCCAAGGGTTGTTTTGGAGTCCTGGGAGCTGGAAAAAGAACCAACCAACCTTGGGATAAATTGGGCTTTGGGATGGGAGCTTATGTCAACTGGCAAAATGGGAAGTGACCTTTTCCCGCCCGGCCGGATAAATTTGGGATGGAGCCGCAGCACAGCCGCCTCCCACTGCCCTCATCCCACGGGGAAGCCACCGGATTGCTGGAAGGACGGATCAAACCAGTAAGGAAACTGGGGTCGGGATGAATCCGGCAGCAGCTCTTTCCCAGGGTTATTTTTCCCAAGGATTAAGGATTCCAAACTTGCTTTGCTTATTTTTCCTGCAGAAATAAGGGATGTTTTTTTCCCTGTGCTCCTCAGCTCCGTGGCAGCTCCTGCTTCCCTCTGGATCCATGGCTCGGGTGGTGCCACGTCCAGAGGGATAAAACCTGGAGCTTGGAAAAGGGGGAAAGCTGGCAATATCCTGCTCCCAGGCTGGTGGAAAGCAGTTGGGTGACGTGGGAGCTGTTCTGAGCACCAGGAAAAGAATTCCAGGAGGAAAACAAACCATCCCTGGGTCCCTCTCCCAAATAAATCCCAGTTAACGTGTTTACAGAGACAAGGGGCTTGTTGGAAAAGTGGCTGGAAAAGTTCTTGTGGTGGGTCAGGGAGGGGAAAAAGGGATTTATTCCTATTTTTTATGGCTGGAAAAGGGTCAGTTGGGATTTGGCTCTGTCTTTTGGTGGGGTTTGGATCAGGATGGGGTTGGGATTGCTGAGCACTGGGAATCTGGGGGGTCACAGGGGGGTTTAGAGCCCATTTTCCAGCAGGAAATGGGAATCTGGGAGGTGATCCCAGAGCTCAGCACCCTCCTGGTCAGCTCCAGACACACAGATACGTGTTTCTATTATAATTCTTCCAATAATTGTCATTATTTCTATATTTTGGTCTCTCTCAGTAGCCCTGGAGCTCCGTGAAAACCCAAACCTGGAGCAATTGCAGCTCTGCATTCGTATTTATTACCATTCCTATAATTATTATCATCATTACTATAATTACCATTATTATAAAGATAATTTGGTATTATTTTATATATTTTTATATCTCTCTGTGTCCCTGGAGCTCCATGAAAACCCAAACCTGGAGCAATTCCAGCTCTGCATTTATATTATTATCACTATTATCATTATCATCATGAAATTTTAGGATTATTTGATACGTTTTCCTGTCTCTCTGTGGCCCTGGAGCTGTTTGTCCCACCTGAGGCAGTTCCTCCCACCCTGTGCTGCAGCTCCAAGGGATTTTGGTCCAGGGGGAATAAACAAATCCTAAATAAATAGATCTTAAATCATCTTAAATAAATAGATTAAATCAACAGCTCTTTTATTTTGGGATCGCCCCTGGCTTTGGGCCTCCCCTTATCCAGCATTTTCCAGGGAAAATGGGGGAGAAACCATCTCTTGGGGGGGGTCATGACTCTTTGGAGCAGGGAGACAGCATCTGTTGGACATCCTGCTTCCAGCAGGACCAGATTCCCCGGATTTGGCCTCATTTTCCCCTTTCCAACCTCTCAGGTGATGTTTTGTTCCGCTCCATCATCCCTTGGGAATGGGGGTCCCTGCTCTGACCTTCCTCCTCCTCCTGGTGACCTTCCAGAGCGTCTCTGGTTTCGGGAGCGGATGAGCCATCGATCCCAGGGAGGCTCCTTGGCGCTTCCCGCCCCCGAGACCTTCAATCCTGCAGGATTTGCCATCCATGGGATAAATGTTCCACGCCAACCAAGCCCTGGGAGCAGCTCCTGCTTCCTTGTGAGGTTTTGCAGCAGCTGGAGCTGGATCCCTCACACCTGGAGGCTTCCAGGCATGGATCTGGGGGGCTGAGCTTCCTTTTCAACCCATTTTTCCTTCTCTCCCGCAGGAGAAAGTCAGGGAAGGGCCTGGGCGGAGCATCGGGAGCCCCCTCGCCATGGCCTCGTCTGAGCTGCCCCCCCAGCCTGCAGTAGGTACTGTCACCCCTCTGGAGCTGGGAGCTTTGGGAAGGGGACCCCTATCCTGGGGAAGAAAAGGGGGGGTGTCCTGCATATCCCAGCTGGAGCCTCTTGGAATTCTGAGAACCCTCAGGGCTGTTGGATCTTGCAGTTCTGGGGGGGTGATGCTCTTTCTTCCATCCCTCCTCCATCCCTTTTCCATTCCTGTTTTTTTTGGGAGGAGGGCCCCTATGCTTGGGCAGAAAGGGGGGTTTGTCCTGCATATCCCAACTGGAGCCTCTTGGAATGGTGAAAACACTCAGGGCTGTTGGATCTTGCAGTTCTGGGGGGGTGATGACTCCCTTCTCCACCCCCCCTTCTCCATCCCTGTCTTCCCTCCTCCCTCCACCCCTTGCTGGCATATCCTGAGTGAATCCCACCTTTTCCATCACCTCCCTCCTCATCTCCCCGTTCCTGGGGGACCCTGAGTGACACTGGATCCCCCCATTCTCCATCCTTCCCTCACTTCTCCATCCATCCCCCCCTCTCCTCC